TTTTTAAATCTTCAAACCCTGAAAATTTAAATAGAGGTTTACAATCCTTATCTAAACCCTTACGACCAGTTGTGTGTTGGAATTCCTGAGTTTTTGGATTTGTGTAAAATGATATGTTCAAATGCTGTCACTGCAGTGGCATAGGGGGTAGCATCTTATAAGCACACAGTGATGTTTCTGCCTGTATTTTAATAGCAGGAAAAAAAATAAAGATCGTTAAAAAAAAAACTCCTAGGAATAGACAATAGAATGAATTGGACAATACTTTTCTATGTTCATATATGAATACACACCCATGGTACCTCCACATCCTGTTCAGCCATGGAAATGAGAAATTATACTCCATGTATGTATGATGTCAAAATACATTCTACTGTCATGTAGAACTAAAAGGAACAAATAAAAATTTAAAAAAAACTCCTATAAGTTCAGATAAGTTGATACTGCCATATTAATTTGTTTAAAGACAAATTAAAAGCTTTTGATTTTCAGAGCTCTGGGTTTTAAGGTCATGGCTAAGGAATTGTGAACCTGAGAAAGGACTGAGGAAAGTGAGCATGGATGATATAAAACATTATGTTCCAGATTCATAGAATTGATGAAAGAGACATTGCATGGGAAATGCTTTTCACAGTACCTAAAACAATTTAGGTGCTAAATAAGACTAGCAAGAAATCATAATAGTTCCATTGTTAAACTTTGTACTTGATTTTGGTGGCAGAGACATAAATAATCATCACTGACTGTAAAGCTGGCACGTGGTCTTATTACATTGTTCTAAGAAAAGTTGACCTCAAGGGACACATAAAGGGAGTGACAATGATCAACCAGGAATCAATCAGGACTCACGTCCCATCTCTGAAACTACTGGACACATTTGAATGAAATGGATAATATTAAAAACTCTAAAAGCCTACTTTATAATAAGTTCCAGTAGGTTAAAGGAAAAGTACAACAATAATGGTGAAGCCAGTGCATGGTGCCTCCCCAAAAAAGAATCAACTGAATCTAGACTTTAGAAAGCCCAGACTTTCACCACTGACATTTGTGCAATGGATTCAGTGTTTTGAGGTATGACTAATAGTTTCTGGTGGAGGTATACCCAGGTAGTATAATTTGCTTAGGGAGCTTACTCTTTTTTAAAAATTAAATACGCGCATAAAAGTTCGGTCCTTAAAGCATTATAAATCTCACATTTATGTATGAAGTTTACAAACCTTATGTTCATATTTATATATAAAGTTTGCAAACTTTATATTTAACCTTTAATAAAGACCTTGAATAATAAAGGCATGGC